CCCCCCCCCCGCCCATCTCACCCCACGGCGTTTACTGTCTCCACATTTCTGACACATGAGAATCGAAAAAAAAGAACGAGAGGTAAAAAAATGACACACCCATTGATAATGTTTGACACGTTCGACCGAAGCGCTTTCGCCTATGCGTACCTCCTACCTCCCGGCAAAGTGGCAAGGCTGTCGCTTGCCCGCATGCACTCTGTCCGTACACGAAAGACGTGTGTCCCAATGTCCCAACGTGGAGAGACAGGAGACAGGAGCAACAAAAACCGACAACACGCTCCCATCAACATCAATCGATTCCCGATCGATCGCACCAGGAGAGCAACGACAACAACGACCACGCTGCAAGCTCCCACCTCAGAAACAAAAATGCGCAATAGTTTGTGTTCTCTTTTGTACCGCCCCCACTTGACCGACTTCACCGACCGACCGTACCGTAGTCTCGGTAGCTGGTAGGCCGACGGTAGGCCAACGGTAGGCCAACGCGGGGCGGGTGGTGCATTGCGCTTCATGTGCAACCCCCTCCGCCCCTTCCAACAGTCGCCGCACTCGCCTCTCATACAGAACCACTGGCCAATTAACCTTCCTTGCAGAGGACCGGCAAGTAGTCGCAAAGTTTTACTTCTTGACAAACACAGCGGGGACCTCCTGTCCCGGTCCCCCCCCCCCTCCCCCTCTCTGACACCTGCAAATATTGCAACGTCGTGTATGCGCAGCTCTCTTCCTCCCCCCAACAAAGAAAGAGAGCCTTCGTGACGCAAAAAATATAGAAAACGACACAGACAGCAAACGCACGCACTTGCAACAAGTACCGCACCGCAAATAGCAAACAAAACTGTGCCGCCCAGCCACATTTAAGCCAGGGTCATGCTGCTCTCTTTCTCCTACTCATACTGTACTGTACCAACCGTAGCCTCTACCATATCAATCACTACGAACTCAAGAAGAAGCGACACGCAAACCGAAACAAAGACCAATAGACCAATCGACAAAAACTGCCGCTGTATTCTCTACCTCTGCTCCTCTTCCCTATGCCCTCGACACCTCGCAACACCTGTGAGATCAAGTCCTCTCGTCGATCTACTCTTTGTTGCTGCGGCCCTTCCCTTTTCCATCTCAGTCGTGTCCGTGCAGAATACAGAGACTTCACAAAGCAGAGTAGAGTACCACGAGGAGAGAGGAGAGAGGAGAGAAGAGACACCAATACAACAAAAACAAAGGACGAACAGCCTTCCGCAAAAAAAAAAAAAACGCCACGTACGATTTATGCACCGATCGACATAAACCAACAACAGCTACACCCACTTGAACGATTGCACGATACGATATCCAAAGCGTAAAACTTGTGTTTGTTTAAACTTCTCTCTTCTCTCTCCTCTCTTCTCTCTCTTGCCGGAAGAACGAAACGCGCAACGACCGAAAAATTCGCGGGCTCTCATCAAAGAAGTCTAAACCACGGAGCATCCCCACCGCAGCAACAACAACAACCATCGGAACGAGTGCGCGCAAGGAGTGATCGGGCATGGCACGCCCCGAATAATTGGTCCCCCCATGCACAGTGGGGTACCGCCTCCTCATTGTCCACACGCCCTGCAACGGGACCTCT